CTATACAGAGAACTGTGTAAAAGTTTGCGTATGTAGGAAGAATTAAAAAGTAATGATTTATGTATACGTAGAACTGCATAAAAGATTGCGTACTCAAAAAGAATTGGATAGCAATCATTCTTTTAATTTCTGTTGGGGATTAGTTTCTCGTGAATTGTTAATGGTGTTTAGGATTGCTTTACGTAAAAGCTATTGCATTTGATGCATAAGTAGTTTGATATGGGAGCGTGCGATAGTGATTACTTTGTGAGCGATACCGAGAATTGTATTTGCACCAGAAATACGAGATATCAGAGGCGTGCTTTTACACGACTGATTGAATTGGAACGACCTTTACTAGATATCGCAACTTATCGCCGTTAAGAATCATTCCTTAGTTATTATGGTATGCAATTTCCTTTGTTGCAATACCTTCACGGAGATAGACATATATTGTTTGCAGATAACAGTTATGAATAATTAACAAAGGACCGTTTAACTTTTAAAGACGCTAGAATGTTTTGTACGAATATTTATAAATATTCCATTTTAATATCAAAAAGAGTATATTAAATTTAGATTGAAAATTTACATCTTTCTAGAAAGTAAAATCTTCTTTTGTACATGCTTGAGTAGTCTAACGATAGATTCTTTTCAAATTAGTGCAATAAATTTGTTTATGCAAACGTGTGGAACGTTTTTCTTTAGGCGTCCTCGAAAATTGAAGGAAAGTACCAATGCCAGAGACTGTTCTGTCAATGTTTGCTTTTCTCAAATCGACCAGACGTTTAACAGTCAGTTAACACAGGACATAAAACATTCCACAGGCAAGTTTACTTCCCTTGATTAGGTCTAAGTAGCTACTCGTACTAAACATAGTGTTGTTAATCATCGGAGATGTATCACAGTGCCAACTGTGCATACTCTGGTTCCCCCGATGGAAAATTTTATGATTTCTTAACTCAAAATTCTGTCCGACTAAAAAATGCAACAACAAAATTCATTACGATGGACAGCTTTTGGGCTTGTTTAATCCTATTTGGCTCATCGAAGGCTTTACTTTCTACCAGGATGGTATCTTGGGAAAAGCACGTTCGCTCTACAAGCTCAACGAGTGACGAGCTTGCGTAAAAGCTGATTCCCACGCGGAAACGGCTTGTATTTCATCGAGCGCGACGTTTCCACGCCACTTCAACCCGGAAGTGTAGTTTACTTTCAATCTAGCGCACTTTGGACTCCTAACTATTTTCGCTGGCGTGTTATCTATACCGACAGGCTTTCTTAACGTAGATCTGTGCTGAATCTAACTGCGGTCACCTGCCAATTACATTTGGCATAACTCCACCCACCTACAATCATTCTTACGGGTCTCTTGGACTAAACATCCATAGGTATATACCAAAGGTGTACGTTATTCTAAAACTTCCTTACCAGTGGTGTCCACTGGTAGTCTATCCTTGCGTATAAATATTAAATTTATATAAATTTGTTGTTCGATGTTGAATTGTATGTTTGACTTGTCGTAGAGTGAAAATGGGAGTTTTGCTTAATACGTAAACAATTCAGGAATAAGTAAATTGAGATTTCGTTGGAATTGTTGGTGATTAGGTAGAAAATTCTAACTGTGGATAAAGGTTCTAAAAATAGCGAAAGAATGATTGGCTGTTCTTTTACAGAGGCAGGTTCTTTATTCGTTGGACAATAAATCTTGCCTTTACAGAAAAGCATAATAACTACAGTATATTTTATATTGTTCTATTCCAAAAAGAAAACTGTGGAGTAGGATATCATAGATGTATAAATGTGTATTGTAGATGATTCACTCAATTGCCTGTAGGTTAATATTTCTGATGATTGTTAAACACATGGAATCATTCTTACGGGTCTCTTGGACTAAACATGGATATATAGCAAAAGTGTACACTATTCTAAAACTTCCTTACATACAATCATTAAATTTATATAAACTTGTTCGATGTTGAATTGTACTTTGGATTTGTCATAGAGTGGAAATGTGAGTTTTGCTTAATCCGTAAACAATTCAGGAATGTA